CCACCCCCTTCCTCTCCCCCACCCCTCCAGTGCAGCAGCAATGGTGATACAGACAGCAGCAAGAGCAGAGGCAGAGAGGATGCTAAAGCTAAGCTAACTTAGCAGAAAATATGTAACACCTAAAGCAACATACATGCATAACCAAGGATCACAAGGAAACCAACAGGCTCATGTTCTTGAAACTAAGAAAAAAGTTCATTTACTCTTTCAGCAACTATTTTTGTTTTGAATACACTCTTGGCATGAATTCCATACACAGCCTTTGATCAGCACTGAGAAAAGTACAGTTGTGAACCAAAAAAGGAATGAAATTAAGCCTCTCAATGTACAACTGCCAGCCTCTTGTGGTACCTCTGTTATTTGCAGAATGCAAGTGACTGAGGGCACTGGGGCAAATATTCAACAAGCTAATTTTTTTTCTTGAGACTAATCCATCACATTTGCAAGTTTCACTTACCCGTCAAGTTCTTCAAGCCAAGTTCCCTGAGTCCAAAGTTACCATCCTTTCTGTAGTTAAGAAATATGGCCAAAGCATATCGCTCTTCATAGAGTTTGGTCCCACGAACAATGCGCAGGTTCTCCAATGGCAGGTATTCAAACTGATTCAAAGCCACCAAAACATAGCCTGTGACTTCTCGGATAGACTGAAAGACAAAAATTAAACAAAGACATTAGAAATAGTCCATTTTTAATTGTTCTGAATTTCTCATACAGTGGATGCTTTACTATGAGATGCTAGTACCCAAGGGGGAAAAAAAAACAAAACAACCAAACAAATTTGGAAAACAAATTCTGTTTCAATTTATTGATTTTAACCACATTTCTGTTTCAATTTAACCGAGTTTATTAGAGATACTGGTTGGAAAACTAGAAAATAGATAGACATTCTTTTCAGCAGAAATTTACAGTAAGTATTAAAGATGCAGGAAAGGATGACTTTGTACAACTCAAAGCAGAGAGCAGGTCAAAGGCCTCGACATGAGCAGAATCCACTGGGGCAATGCCACAGTGCACGTAAGATTGCCTGCCTGCAATTAACCCTTTGTTGTACAGGATATTCCATGGTAAAACTGAAAGGACACAGCATGGGGTGAGAGACATCTCTAGAAGTGCTCACAATCGAACAGGAATGAATAGTAGAAATGGGGGGGCAGGTTTGGAAGAGTAAATAAAGACAATGCGTATATGTATTAACACCCACTTTTGTACTTCTAAATGAAGTCAATCACTGAACATTTGCAAAGATTCAAGTGCTGGAACCATGCATGCTATATATTCCAAACTTTGACTAAAAACGGGATGAAAACCTGTAGCAAAATGAGTGCTGCATCTTTGAGTTGGCTGAAATCTTTCTTTGCTTTAGACTCAATAACCCTCCTGCTCGTACTCAGGAATTGATTGCCTGGGTTGTAAACGGGAAAAAAAAAAAACAAACCCAATAACTAGAAACAGTTTTTCAAAGTCCAAAAGATTAACAAAACTCAGATGTTTTTAGAAAGAAAAAAAGATTTTAAAGTATGCTTTTTTGGAAAAAAAAAGTTCATTCTAAGCAATTTAAATAAATGGCCTAGCAACCTGCAAATGCCTTCGAAAAGTGTCATTTTGACACTTGCATAGAGCCCCACCATCCTCAGCAGGACTTCGCACAGGCCGAGGGATGCGGCTGCCCAAAGCTGCTCCCAGAAACAGGACCTCCATGTTGGAAAGGGTGTCTCAAATACAGTTTTCAAATCTCAATTAATTCCATGCCCGCAACAGCCTGAAACCACTGTATACACATATATTTATGTGTGTTTGTATATTTAATGGACAGAAATTGATATAACTACTTATGGGCTTAAGTGGATGCATGCACTTTTTTCTTCCCTTTGGCAAAGTCAATACCTTAAACAATACACAGAAAGAAAAATTCTGCTTAGAGTAACGTGCACAGACTATAACTAACATGATGTGGACTCCAGTCAATATTGTAATAAAAACAAACAGGCAAACAATAGCAGGCATCGACGTAAATGTGTTGTGTATGTATCATTAATAAAGAAAGGGAACATGGATTTGCAGCACAAAGGACAGGCTTTTGCTTTGCTGGTTCAACGTTGTTGCCACGATTTCATACGTAAGTGTGCAAGAACCTTTTAGTTACATTTATAAAAGTTCGTAAGACTATTAACAAGCATGGCAGTATACATAAGGAAGGATTTATATGCCACAAACTCTACGCACTAGCTGTCCTTCTAAAGTCAAATGTCTGTACTCAGCTGAAGCTGCTGAAAAAGCTCTGGAGCTATTTCAAGACTTGCTTGGCATCTAAACAGAGCACAGTGTCATTACAGGACTTCGATGAGAACCCAGTGAGTTGAGCTAGGTTGAGAAGTACGGTTCAGTAGCTCAATATTAAATGTAGAGCTGCATTATACCCTGGGACACTGATTCCATTATAATCAGAAGCTTTCCAGCACTTTCATGATAGCTCTTTGCTTTCAGACATTTCAGCTTAGCCAGTTTGGTCAGGAATTTGTTTTTCATCATACCCAAAATTTCTTTACACTGGCTTTTTTAGCCTCTCTTCACAACTTAGGAAAAATTAAAATTATACTAATGGCTTCAATTCTCTACTGATATTCTAGGGACACTGTGATTGCTCTAATTAATTTAAAGGGATGTTTAACTTGGAATTGAGTTGAAAAAAATTAAAAGCAGTTCCAAAACTGCATCTGACCAAGTCCTCTCTGCCAATTTTTGTCACTTATAACCATGTTTTCTATTTTTAGGGTATGTCTTGTTTACCGCCTTCCAGCGAGTCCACCTGAAAGAGCCCTATTTCAGCATGGCACTGAAATTAAACACACACACACACACTCTCACCAGTAAATCTTCATTCGTAAATTTAAAAAAAAAAAAAAAAAAAAAAAAAAAAGGAGGAGAGAAGGGCAAAGTTTTGTTGTTGGTAATTGTGAACTGCCACCCCTAACAGAGAATCCTTGGTACTTTTTGTTTGGTTTATCCAACTGAAAAGACAAAATATGGCAACTATTTTTACAAGAGCTAGAGTGTCTCTTCCAGTTCCAAGGCTTCCATCAGCACTGCAACACCTTTTTATTTGCTGGAGAAACTGCCATGTTAATCCTTGCAAAACTAAATGATGAAAATAAACCAAAGGGTTTCTAATTTACTAGAATATAGCAACCTTACTGACCAAATCTAGTGGTCCGTTATATTAATTTGGGGGATTATTTTATTTTTTTTATTCAAATCTGAATGAAAAAGGCAGAGCAATAACATGTTTTGCAGGATGGTGTGTTGTCTGACTGGTCCAGCTTGAAAAAACATACCGGGAGTGCAGCAGGCAGCTCAGGTTTTGGCCACTGCTGGCTGACACTGTCACTTTGCCAGTCACTGCTAGTTTTGATGCGATTCTTTCTGAAAATGGACACCTGCCCACTTGGAGCTCACTCCAAGCCCTGTTGGAGTCACTACAAAGATGCCAGCTTCCACACAGACTCACAAATCCTCATGCCAGACGGGATCAGCCAGCCTGATCCTCTGCAACTCATGCCAAGGTTAGGCATAGTTTGAACCTCCCATCCTCCGTATACAACACTGAATGCTTTCCTGTTCAGGTATCATGAACTCAGGTATAAACTCAGATATCCTAATGCTCTATTTTAGCTGTTTTGCTTCAGCTTTAATCTGTGTCCCACCTAGAAGGTGGAGTGGCTCACAGCAGTGGTAGATCGAGTGTCACCTCCTAGTTTGATTCTCCTGCTAGGTAGGGCTGGAGGTCCTTGCAAAAATGAATTTCCCATGAGTCAGTCCCTCAGGAAAGAAAAAGGGAGACAAGGACACAAATAACTGCATTTCAGTTCCCATGACCTACCACTAGAATGGAAAGACACAGATTAATCACCACCAGACATGAAGCTGAAAGTTTCTGACAGGGAAAACTAAATGAACTCTGGCAACCTCCAGTCTTGCTTGCTGACCATTTTGATTTTGCGGGACTCCCCCCGCCGCCATCACAGCATTATTTTGACTGGGAATTCCAGGCCAGCATTATCCTGCCTTCCCTTGTCATCTGTCCAGCTCTTGAGACATGACCTGTCATGTAAAGAAGCCGTCGAGTGAGGCAGCGACAGGCTCCGCGACGGGCGCAGGCTGCCGTAGCACTCCTGCTGCTTCGGTAAACGCATTTTGGCTCCCCAAAGTTGTTTGGGTATGACAGTGGAAATGAGCATATAGATTTGAATGAGGAAAGGGCTAAAACTCCCAAGGTCCCCATCACAAAAGGACAAGGGATGTTATTCATTGCAGCCTCCGAGCAGAAGCCTGGGTGTTTGAAAGCAGATGAGGAGACACCTCTGAGGATTCAAGAGCCAAAGGTGTCTGCTCCTCTGACTGGGCCTGTTAGGCGTCAGATCCTGAAATAAGAAATGGCATACTTCTAGCAGGAAAGAAAATTAGGGGGGAGCCAGGGGGGGAGAAGTATTAATCCTTGACAAATCTAAAGCCTCACGAGCTGCTTTAAAATCAGAACAAGCCACAGCATTCAAGTCTGATCTATTTACCAGAGAAGAGCTCTTCATCTATGTTTTTCAGACAGGAGATGAGTACTTGTGCTCCAAGGCTTGTTGTCCCTAAGGCTCAGCGCTGCCCTGAACCCCAAAAGCAGGCACGGTAGCTTATAAATGAGTCTTCTACTGGCCTCTGCTTTCCCTGACAGAGCCAATTTTTTTTTTTTAAACCTAAAAACCCATTACCCTTTGATGACAACAGACCCAATGAAGGCCGTATGTCCCGAAACTCCTCGTGCCTCGAGGTGCTAACCCGCCCTGGGTGGCTGCTGTGCCTCAGGGGGCTGCCACAACATGGCGGCCGC